ATACGCTGTTGAAAGAGCTGACGAACTGATGAAGCGGCGCGCCTAAACTCTGAACCTGCCGCACGGGCGCTTCGTGCTGCGTGGCAATTGCCACAAAAAGGAAGGAGGGAGTGAAGGATGGACATGAGCACGCAAGCAAGGACGAAGAACAGAGGGAAGCCAGCAAGATAGGAAGGGAGGAAGGAAAGGAAATCGCAAAGGACAAGGAAGGAAGGAAGGAAGCAAGGAAGGAAGGAAGAGAAGAAGGAAAGAAATCGCAAGCCAAGAACTTTACACCGAGGGTGGGGAACAACAACACCGAAAAAGTGCTCAAACAAAGTTTCTACCCGAATGCAATGGACATGCATCTGCCAGCTGAGGCAGAAGCTTCTTCAGGTAGTACTGGCCTGCCAGTGCAAAGCACCCCCAAACCCAAAGGCGCAATATCATCCGACACTCTGAAGTCTAAAATCTAGACAATCTAGAGCCCTCAGTCGCTCTTAGTATAGCAAAGTGCCCTAAAGCTTCAGGTCAAGGGGTACTATATTGAAATGCAAGAAGGACCGGCTGAGGGTTGAGGTTTGTTTTAACGGCTGCCATGCGCACGAGACTTTGCGAACGCGCCGTGTTAAACAAGCCCGATTGCGCGTCGGCACAGACTCCTTTGAGGAATTGTAGGGTTGTGGGTTTTGGGTTTAGGGCTTGGGATTTAAAACAAGTGTAAACCCTCTTCCAGCAAGCACGACTCCAACCTTCTTCAAGGTTCGACGACATCTGAAGGAGATAAACGAAGCATGCGAAGCGAGTGCTTGCTGAGGGCTTGCTTGTCTGTCAGTTTCAGGGTCTCGTCATGCGCATCCGACCCTCGCCCGTTGCGCCTCCGAGGAACAAGAACTGGGCCACGCACAGTGGCAAGATCTCGGGTCAAACGAGATCTGTGGTGCTATGCAAGGTCTATCTGCGTGCCAACTGGCTAGGAGGAGAGCTCTGAGGCTGTCGCGCCATAGACGAAAACCTGCTTCCCAGCCGCTTCGGCTACTGTTGCTGTCGACAACAGAGACTTGATGGGGTTTAGAGTTTCTGGAAGTTTGGAAAGCTCGTGGTCGTGACGGCATTCATGTTTGAAAGCTTCGGGCTGACAAAGCAAGGCTCGGGATAAACGCAGTCCGAGCTTCGGGTGCCCAGTGCAGCTACAAAAAAGTCCCGTTTGCAGTTTCGTCCGTGTGTGTGTGCATACAAGTAATATGATGGGTGACTCTCCAAGAGGCCCGGTAAATTACGCCATAACCTGAGTGATTGTCCCAAGCCCAAGCCCCCAAACCAGCATGATCAGCTGTGCCGGGCAAGTGGCCAGAAGCGGTGTCAGATCGATAACGTCCTGGCGCAGACAAGGCTGAAATTTGCTGAGAAATGAAAGGAACCCATTGAAAGACTCCGCAGAGTTGACTTCATTTCTCTCTGCCTTCGCCGACCCATAGGTGTGGCCTACAAAAAGCACACAGCAGCATAGCACAGCAAGATCACCGCCCTTCTTGTTGCTCCTGCTCCTCCTGATCCTGCTCATGCTCCCGCCGCTGTTGCTGGCGCAGCTGCTACAAGCCCGCATTGCAAGACACTGAATGCGACGCTATGGTATCTTTGCTAATGCATAGAACTAAGACGACTAAGAGCATTTTCAGCAGAAGGGCAATCTGCACTACGAGACAGAACCCGGACCATGAGAAACCGAAAACGGCACACTGTTACATCGTCGCCTGCGGCTTTCAGTCTTCACTGTCGAATTCGGCCACTCTGATTCGTTCGGACTTGACCCCCATACTCTTGTGCGTTCCAACATAACACGGACTCAGGATCCCCTGAGAGCCGGGTCCTGGCAAAGATGGTCGGCATTGTCGCGGAGCTGGCGCAAGAAGTCCTTGCTAGGGACGATTTACCCGGACACAGGCGGCGACACCATTTGACCCGCAGCTCATTCGGGAATGCATGTCCGAGTGGGCAATCTGCAAAGCGTGGTGGTAAGTTCTCCGATTGGGGCTGCTAGAAGCAACTGGAACCCTTCATCAAGGGTACAGCCGCAAATTGTGCCTGCGAGTTGAACTTCTCCGCAGCATCCTGGATGGGTTCGTGCGGCGGGGATCCATTACATGCAAGTTGCCCTTTTCTCACACCTGGAAGCAGGGAGAACGAAGAAGAAAAACCAAAGACATTTAAGAGAAGATGTCCGCTGCAAGCCTGGCAAGCCAAGATGACACGGAACCCTTCCAAATGGCAATCGCGTTCAGGGTTTTTGATAAATCTTCGAGATGATCTCCCCCTGCTACAACATCCCGGAATGAAATCATGCTAGCAGTATGTAGGAGTACGCCAACTCACATGTTGACTCAGAGTAGCGGTGAAACACGGACTGAGACCGTGGTGCGACATTCCCGTGGTGCGACATTCCTGTGCAAATCCGGAAATGCATAAAGCGAACGACCCAAGCAAAGGTGCACCTAACAGGCCCAACGTCCGCCGGACAGGAAACTGGCCTTGCCCATCATTTCGGTCAGATGCTTGACCACCAGGTCGTAGATGTCATTGTTGACAACCAAGACCTGAGCAGTGTTACCGTGAGGTTGTCGTAATCCAGCGGACACGCTATCATGGTCGAAGATGCATGTGTATACATATACATACATA